GTGTGGCTGGAAGGGACCAGGCAGATGAGGGGGTGTTTGAGGGAGCAAGGAGCATATCAGTTATGTTGGGCACCTTGTCAAGTCAGGAACTGCAGCCCTCAGCTGGGCGATGAGCATTCTATCAGTCATCCCAATGCAGTGCTGACTGCACCCAGCCTAAAATATCCCCTGGGGAGGAGGAGGTTAAAAGAACTGTGCCAGTAAGCAGGGCCAGAGCACCCTTCCCTGAGATGCTGATGGCCAGGAGGCACGGGTGGACATCACCATGAAGGCAGCTGTGCCTCGGTGATGAGGAGCTGCTTGTGCAGGAGGGAAGTAGGTCTGCTCACAGCCCTGACTCCCCAGGCACCACATGCCCCATGGCCTGCCCTGGGCACCAGGCTCATCATGACCATGCGGGAGACCAAGGACACGTTGGTTGTTGGGTACCAGCCTGCCCCATATCTGAGTGCCAGACCCATGTAGCTTCACTCTCAACAGACTGGGAATGGCACAAAGCTGAGTGCTGAGAGCTGTCCTCACTCCAGGGAACAGCTGGAGCAGAGGACAGGATGTGGAAGACCTGCAACGTGGTCATCCCAAAATGGTTGAGCCTCTACAGTTCTTCCTGGGTACAAGCTCTATCTGTCGCTGTGGGAGCAGCCTTGGCATTTCTTGTTGAAGGATACACAGTGCAGAGTCATCCAAGGATCACAATCCAGCCCATGCGCTGTTTGAGCCTGCTGCAAACAACCCCATGAACCAACATCCTTAAGAACCCAGGTCACATTCAAGCCACCCACAGCAGACACCCACCCTGGGTACCTCAGCTAACTCCTCACTGCTATTCAGGGAGGCTGCAGGGAGTCCTGAATTGCTCATGTCTTTCTTGATCTTACACCCGCCTACATGTGACAGCTCAGAGAAGTGCATGTGAGGAGCACAGCTCTCTTGTTAACCCACACCCCCAGCACTGAGGTGTGAATGAAGCCTGCACGAGCAAGGCAAAGGCAGAGAGCAGCTTTGAGCAAGCTAGCAGCTGCCTCCAAGGCCAGCCAGCAAGCAGTGGGTGCATGGAGAAAGCATTCCTAGAGATCTTCAGGGCCACCACGTTCTGCAAAGGAGGAGGAGGAGGAATGCAGGAAAGTGGTTAGGAGTACGGACAGGCAGGCAGAGCCTGCAGTACCCATGTCACCACGAGCTCAAATCTGCACCCAGCGATTACTCTGCACATACTGGGGATCCTGGGACCCAAGAGGAGGGAGGCGTACAGGAGGTTTCCTTTAGGTTCAGACCAAGACAAGAATGATGGTGTCAAGGGTTTCAGAATTTGTAAACTAGTAAATGACATTCTGAAACTAGAGTGTGGCATTTACTAAACATTTTGTGCAGTGTATATAAAAGTATTTTTAATGAAACCCTGGGAAAGCAAAGTGGTGAACAAAAATAAATCATTACTGTGACAAGAACAACACCATTATCATAATAGACATGCACATTTCTACATGTTTGTTGTCTGTATCACCCTAGTGTGTCTGTAGGCTTTTTGAGGTATACCGACAGCCAGGAGAGTCGGAGGTCGGTCTGGCGTAGAAGGAGGAGCTGGGCTGGGCTCAGTGAGGTGGGGATTAGTGGCAGTCAAAGATCATGGGCTGATGGCTTTTACATCTCCACTTTATTCAGAGAGGAATTAAACATCCTGAAGGCAAAATGTCAGCGCACTCAGCAGTTCCAGCTCTCTGCCTCCCCCACCATCCCAGGGACCAGGGCCCTGGCTTGCTACAGGGAGCGAGGCTCAGTCCTCCACCCAAAACAGCTCTTCCCAGTGACACCAAGATGAGGAATACTCTTTTGGGAGGCCAGCATCCGAAAAAAAAGGCATGTAAAAGGGGATGGTTTTGCATGCTGCATACAAAAGTAGTATTTTCAAAAATAGTGATATGTTCCAGACTTCCAGGGCTGAGGAAGACATGGAAGTATTATGCTAGAAATGGTGCCTGTGTATCACCTTCCACATAACAGCCAGCAGGAGGAAGAAGTGGCAACCAAGAACACTTCTGCTCAGTTCTTAGACAGAGATGACTACTCACATCCCCCCTCAAGATGACGAAGCATTTTTCACTGCACTAAAAGAGAAAGAAAGAAGTTAATATTTGTTGAGAAAGTGCATTTCTAAACCCTCAGGTCTATGCCTCTGGGTGACCAAACTGCCCTAACTCAAAAATGTGACATCAGTCTACTGATTCCTCAGAAAAACAGCCCCCTGATGACCCTGTCCGTGGCTGTTCTGCCAGACGTGGTATCCCAAGGGACTGTTGCCTTCAGTAACACCAGAAATCTTGAGCAGATCAGTTCGGGACTCACCAGAGCAAGAGACTATCAACCAAAAATGTCCCTGTAAAATATATGTATATGCATATGTATATGCTCATCTCCTTTCAGCATATAGAAACCAAACAGACATGGTGTGACTGTGATTATCCTGCCACATACAGATCAGCCCCTTTGGCAATAAACAATCTTATGAGGCTGTGTGAGCATCACCAGTTTGCCGGGTATCTGGGGAGCAGGAGCACTTGCAGAAAGATCCACATGCTTGGGTCAGACCATGCTGTGCCATGCAGATCTCCCTCATGGCAGAGGTGGGTGGTCCAAGCAGGACCTGGTCCTTGCTGGGTAGGATCTGCATAAAGGCCAGAGCCAGGCAACAAATGCACTTCCACCAAGGACAGGGGCCAGCTCAACTTGTTCGGACTTAAACAGAAAACCTGTTTGCAAATAGCTTTAGGAGCAACTTAGCTTTAAGTCACCAGGGAGCTCTAAAAGCCAGCTGCTGGCTTTTCTCTAGATGCCCATTACCACTCAGACTGGGTAGCTCAGAGCAGACTGGTACCAGCCCTGGGCAGTATCTTAGTTGCAGATGATGTGGAGAGCAAGACAGAAATTTTCATAGCGTGTTCAGAGCTATCTCATGCTTTCAGCCTTTACTCTCCTTCTTGAGAGAGGCAGATTCATGATTTCTAGGAATGCCTTCGATGCTGCACTGGGGTGATTTCATATCCTTCCTGCTCTTTCATTTCTTCCCCCTCTTTGCAAGATCTCTGAAATATTGCACTTCCTCACACCTCTTTGGAAACATTCTTCATCCCTCTGGTGCCACAGCAGATGCCACTCATCTGTCAGCTTGCCACAGTCAGATTGCTCCTGCTTTCTGGACAGTTTCCATCCTGCCACTTCCTCCTGCCCCTGGTGACATTTAGGCTGTCCCTTCCCAACTGTCACCGTGCACAACAGGTTCCCTGGCCGCCCTCACCACTCCCACCCTCCACTGCCTCTGGTTCCAGCTCTCTGACAAGGTCTCCAGGTTCATGCCCTTTCTCATCTCCCCAGGCTCCATAAACTCCCTCTGTAAGATCTCCATGGAGATCAATGAGCTGCAGAGCCCACCAAGACCTTCCTCCTGAGCTGCAGAGCCCACCAAGCCTTTCTCCTTCCTGGGACACGGCAAACCTGGGACTTCCAGCTGGTCTCTTCTCCCTGCCACACAGCCTCCAAAATAAAGAGCCTGCAGCTGGAGGTGGAAGGGTGAGACTCTCCAAAATGCAATGAAATTCAAGGTGAGAGGAGCTGCTTTCTCAGGTCCAGCATCATTTCTCATTGGGATACTCCTAAAGCACCATCCAGGACATCCCCAGAGAAATCGTGCTGAGCATTTAAGACCATGCTTTATCAGGTCTCATTTCATTTGAATTGAATTCATCTTTAAATTAAGCAGATTCATTATTTCTGTCTGAAGGGTGAGCTCCAGCTGCCAGCACACAGCTGCTGGCCTTGCCTCCACCCCACCTACCCCAGGCAGTGTCTCCTGTCTCCTGGCCCTGTGTACCACAGCACTTTGGTTTAGATGACTAGAACTGGCTGATGCCACAGTGAAGCTTAAGAACCTGAGAGCTTTTCCTCCAGCAACACAGTGGCAGACTGAGGCAAGAGGCTGGGGCAACAATACAGCCTGGAGCAGAAGGGATGTTCCAGGGGATGTCTCAGGGAAAGGAGAAATCAAAGGCGAATTTGGAAACATCAGCAGAGACCGGGTTATTCTCCTTTCCAGAGTTTTGCAGCCCCTGTAGTGTCCCTGTCCTGGGGTCAGCAACGCAGCACCTCCCACGCCTAGAGATTTCCCACCCTTGTGGCTTGTGAGGGGAGGTGGAGGAGTTGGAGCTACCAGACCTGGAGGTTATCACCCCACTGTGGGACAAGAGAGAGCAGCCCAGCAACCACCCACACCTGCACAGATGTCCCCTCACCCGCACCAAAGGCCTCAGCCCATCCCGGCAGTGTTCAAGGCCAGGCTGGACAGAGCTTGGAGCAAGCTGCTCTAGTGGAAAGTGGCAGGGGGGTGGAACTGTGTGAGCTTTAAGGTACCTTCCAACACAAATCATTCCATGGTTCTATGACTCTTTGATGCTGAAGCATGGCCAACTACACAGGCAGATGCTGCTACCAAATTCTTTCTGGGTGGGTGCCTGGTTTAGTGCAGTGTCTCACGGATGCCACAGCAGGATCTCTCTAGGACTCTCTTTAGGCTGGGCCGGACCAGATCCAGCAGCACCCTTTGCCTCTGAGACATTGCAGATTAGCTGGGGGTAACAACCAGGGATGGAAGTGCCACAAAACCACACTGCTCATTGCAGAGGCTCTCCACATCAACACTTTATTGCCTTGTTCCAGAATAATTCACACTAAAATCAGCACTACACATTAGGTTGGGTGCATACCTCTTCCATCAGCCCATGCCACAAGCAGCAGGGTGATCAGGGGGCTACCCTGGCCCCATCGGCAGCACCAAGGGTTGTGGCACGTCCCCAGTGCAAAATGTCCTTCCCAGCACAGGCATGGCACATGGCTGGTGTCAGGCGCATGGCGGGTGTCAGGCGCATGGCGGGTGTCAGGCACATGGTGGGTGTCAGGAGCATGGCTGGTGTCAGGCGCATGGCTGGTGTCAGGCGCATGGCGGGTGTCAGGCGCATGGCGGGTGTCAGGCGCATGGCGGGTGTCACACTTGTCAGGTCACCCCCAGCAGCCAGGAGCACACAGTGACCCTGCCAGGACACGCACCAAGGCACGCAGGTATTTCCCCAGTGCTGCCCCGCTCACAGGAGGAGCTGGTTGAGCTCCCAGCTCCCTGCCCAAAAGTGAGAAACCAGAGCAGCTGCTGTCACAGGATGATGCACCCAGTCCCTTGTGTGTCCCTGACCCAAGAGATCACCAAGGGCTCTGCATTCCTGCCCCCCAAAAAGGCACCCAGGAAAAAGAGAGGCCGGAGGTTTCCCGAAAACCTGTCAGTGAAGGTGTAAACGTGGGAGCGGTCGCTCACATTGTAAAAGGAGATTTCTCCTGCCTCATAGTCCAGGAAGATCCCAATGCGCCGGGGTCTCACGGCCAGGGTCAGAGGGGAGACAGGTGAGGTGAGGGCCTCATATTTGCCCCCATTTTGGAGCCGCAGCACCCAGTAGCCGTTGTTAGGGGAGAAGAGGATGTTGCCCTTCCGGCTGGCAGACTCCCTGCAGAGCCCCAAGCCCCACTCTGGCTTGTCTCCCACCTGTACCTCCCAGTAGCAGCGGCCTGAGAAGAAGACCTGGCTCCCCAGCACCACTGGAGCCGTGCTGAACCTCTTGGGGTTGTCAAAGAGGGACAGAAGAAGCTTCTTGCTCCCTCGCCGCACACTCTTGCAGTCCTCAGACAGGGTGAGCTCAGGGTGTGACGTCTCAGGGTCCAGAGTCACATCCACTGGAGCGAGAGAAGGGTGGAAGGACAATGGGGCTTTAGAGATCTGCACGCATGCACCTGAGCAGGTGCCTGAAACTTGGACGTGGGGGGCTCTTCCAGATCTTCCCACCTCCCACATTTATTTGCTTGTGCCCATGGTTTTGCACAGCTCCTAGCGCTGCCCAGCAGCAGAGAAGTGCAACACAGAAGATCATGCTAACCATGAAGCACATCAAAGCATTTGGCATCTAGCTGCAGAGCAGGAATAGAATGAGGATGGCTTCACTGGCCGCAGCACAGCTTCACAAACAACCAACACTGACAGCAGGAGCTTGTGAGCAATGCGGAGCCTGAAACTCCTGAGTGACCTCCTAGACTTCAGGGTCACCTCACAACCCATCCAAGAGCAGGAGGAAGGTCTCCCCTCCATGAAACCAGCCTGAACTCACCAGTAAATAAACAGGGGCCAGTTGGACAAAGCTTGTTGACAAAAACTCCCCAAGCCCCAGGGTATGGGTGGGAAAGGGGGGTGAACCAGGACCCAGGTGTGCCAGGAGACGCCACAAAAGCAGCCACCTTACCTTTGAACTTCTTCAGCATGTCCCTCATGCCCAGGCAGCGCTCTGGGATGCTGTAGTCCTCCTTCAGGGTCACAGACACAGCCATGGGGGATGGGAATGTTACCCCCTCACACCTGAAAGGAGAGTGATGCCCATGGACTGTATCCAGAGCCCACAGCACTGCCAGTCTCCTGCTGGGGGGTTAATGCCTTTCTGTTGCACAGATACATCTCTCCCTTGAGCTATTTGACTGTGAGCACTAGGGGTAATTGCTTGTTAATCAGCAAGGCTGATAAGTGTGATCAGCAGATTGAGCAGCTTCCAGTGCCTAAAGGGACTACAAGAAACCTGGAGAGGGGCTTTGGACAAGGGCCTGTAGGGACAGGCCATGGGGAATGGCTTTAACCTGCCAGAGGGGAGACTGAGATGAGCTCTTAGGCAGAAGCTCTTCCCTGTGAGGGTGCTGAGGCGCTGGCACAGGGTGCCCAGAGAAGCTGTGGCTGCCCCATCCCTGGCAGTGTTCAAGGCCAGGTTGGACACAGGGGCTTGGAGCAAGCTGCTCTAGGAGAAGGTGTCCCTGTCTGTGGCAGGGGTTGGGGCTGGAGGAGCTTTAAGGTCCCTTCCAACACAAACCAGGCTGGGATTCCATGATGGGACCAGAGCTACAAATGCAGTGAGTGGCTGTGCCAGGCTCTGGGAAGGAAGGAGCAAGGCCAGCTGGGCAGTACGTCCGTTAGGAGGGGACACATCTCATGCAACACAAGGCCAGGCAAGACCTTTGGCTCCCAGGGGTGGCTGACATGGACCAGACATGAACATCTCAGAGCCTGGAGGCAGCCAGGACAGTAGGAGCATGGGTACCAACCTGCACAGGACGTTCTTCATGTCCTAGAAGAAGGGAAAAACCATTCTGGGTGTGTGGCTCCAGAGCCTTGTGCCCACCAGTCAGTCTGACCCTGGCCACTCACCCAGGCAGCAAAGGCACTGGGGTTGAGTTAGTGGGGCTGGTGGCATAGCCTGACCTTGAGCAGCCCATCAGCTGGCTGATGTATCTTCTCCTTTATCTCCAGGATCAGCTCCTCCAGCAAGCACTTCTGCTCCACCAGTCTGGCCAGGTTTTCACTGATCAACAGCAGAATCCTCTTCTCCTCCTCCTCCAGCTTCTGGAGCAGCAGCTTCTCCTCATCGGCCAGCAGCCGATGCAGCTTCCCGAACTCGCTCACAATCCTCTCTCGCTTTTTCTTCACTGTCTCCTTGTGATAGGAAGAAACATGGGGTGAAGACAGACAATATTAGCCAGCAGACAGGATGGGGCCAGATGCTCCAGCAGTCAGCATCAGGCCCTGGGAAATCACCACATTTTTCTGCTAAGTGCATTTAGTTAAAAAAAACAGCCAGAGGCCAAGTGCTGAGCTCCCACTCCACAGACTGTTTATCAGCAGTAGGACCGCCTAGGGCATTTCTGCTCAGCTGGACATCGGATGTGTAATGATGACTTGGTGCAGCACTGGGGTCTTCTGGGCTGCGAGGGAATGCTATCAGGGCTGGTTTGTATTAGATGTGGTACAACCTGTACCTCTAACTAGGTCCAGACACAGTCACTGCTTGGGCAGCCCAGAAGAAAGGCTGGAAAAAGGCTTGGTTGCTAACCAAGGGAGACAAGGTAACCAAGGGTTGTTAACCTCTTTCCAAAGGGAAAGAGGTGGAAGAAGCCCCAGGGCTGGGGAGGTATGGAAAGGGGGAGCCAGGGTGTCTCAGTACAGCCCGGGGTGAGGAGACAGCAACAGGCATGGTTTGCTGGTGCGTTAGGGATTTTCTTTTCAGCCCTATAAATTGGCTCAAAACCCAAAGCACCAGGAAAACATGCTGCAGATAGCTAGGGTCATGGAACCTCAGACTGCAGGAGACAAATGAAAGGAAACTGAACTGCATTTATTTTTCTGTCCAAGCACGTGATTTCTTGGACCTGAGTCATGGAGGTTTGATAAGCAAGGATGGTCGCAGCCACTTCCACCCCCAGCTGCTTACAAGGGACTCCCCAGCTCGGGTGAACAGGGGACAGTGACATGGCTCATCCACCACCTCCATCCCCGGCCCCATCTTAGACCCAAGGGGGACACTGCAGGGCTTGGCCGGGCTGTGGGCAGGCAGTGGAGCTGAGCAGACAACTGGAGAAACCAGTTTTCTCTGCCAAAGCTGATTAATCATCAGCTCCAGCTCCGAGCTGGGTAACTCGGTCCCGTGCTTCCTTTTCTGCAGTTACTTTCACTTCCCTGCTTCTGGAGGGATGTGAAATGCAGCTGTTTTGCCGGTGTCTGCTTTCCCTGGGCTGCTTTGGAGTCCGGCAGAGGTGCAGTAATTCAGCTTTTCTTTTTCTTAACGAAAATAGCTCCTATTGCTGTGGAGCAAAGCTCACTTTGTGGCTCATGCCTGGCTTCTAACTCATGCACACATTGTAAAACAAAGGGCAATTACAAAATAGCCAGTGTCCGTTTGTTTAACCCTGTGGTTTCGGGGGAGCTGCCCTTCACAAAGCACTTCTTTCCTCTTGAATTTTTTACAGTTGCACAAGGTCACTCCTGTTAGAATTAAGCCAGACACGTGCCTTGCACTCCTGGGTCTTCATCCTTTCTGCCAACTCACGCTTCCTAACGTCCTCCACTTCCTTTGAAAGATGCTCCAAGGATTTCTGGAGTTTGACCTGGAAAGCGAAGAGAGGGGCTCAGCCCCAGCAGCACCCACAGGCTGGCTCCTGTCCTGGTGCCAGCTGGGCCCTGGCACCCAAACCCAGCAGCTGCGCTCCTCACTCCACTCCCAGCATTAACCCTCTCTGTGCTCCTTGGGTTTTCCCCATGTTTTTCTTATTGTTTAGGTTTTGGAGAGCAAAGTGGCTGCCCCCTCAGTGCTGGTGTGTGGGGCACGCTGCCAGGAGCATTACTGGGATGCTGGGACACGGGGTTTGAGTGCCAGTAGCTCTGCACCACTCCACCAAGGCGACCGTCTCTGCCACCCCTCCTCTGCTGTCCTGGCGGTGCTGCCAGGGCTGTTGGGAATGGGGCAGTGGGGTCCTGGCAGCTGATCCCCCTGTGCCCAGGGTGCATCGGAGCATGACGGGGATCCCCAACCTCCCCTACCTTGTAGACCTGCGCGGCCTCCTCAATGGGGTAGACGGTGTGCGGGCGGTGGTGCAGGGACTCCCGGCACACCACGCAGATGGCCTCCTCATCCTCCTCGCAGAAGAACTTGAGGCGCTCGTCATGCTGGGGGCAGAGCGGGGTCCCCGCTGCCGGCTCCGTCCCCTGCCCGCCCCGCAGCCCCAGCTGCCGGATGCTCTCCACGATGTTGGCCAGCTGCCTGTTGGGTCGGAAGCCGCTGCGGTGGCAGGAGGCCCTGCACTGTGGGCAGGAGAAGGGCCCGTCAGCCCAGAGACCCTTCTCTTGGCAGTGCTTGGCGATGCAGCCCCGGCAGAAGTTGTGCCCGCAGTCAATGCTGACAGGCTCGCTCATGTACTCCAGGCAGATGGGGCAAATGGCCTCCTCCTGCAGCCGCTCCAGGGCCCCCGCCAGGGCCATCGTGGCCTCCGTGGCCTTGCCAGGTGCTTCCTTCCCACCACGGTCGGCGCGGCCGGTGAGCTGCTGGCAAGGCAGCACTGGCAGCGCCAGCAGAGCCAGGGAGCAGTGGCCTGGCTGCTGTGTGGCACTGGCCACCGAAGCCTCTGCCGTGACTGGGGGAGGAGCGTGGCAGCGACAGCTGCAGCCAGCCCGGAACGCTGGGGCTCCTCCAGCCCCGTGGGTCCAGGGAAAGAGAAACCGAGCAGGAGAGTGTGATAAATTGGGAAGCGCCAGAAATAACCTGTGCGCAGGCACTGCGTGGCAGAGGGGACAGTGTTCACTGAGTGCTGAGCAGAGCACCCATGGCGTCGATGAGAGCCCCGCCGTTGCCTGCCTGCTGCCTGCCCTCTGCCCTTACTGCCGCCCACCCACTGCCCTTACTGCCACCTGCCCTCTGCCCTTACTGCCGCCTGCCCTCTGCCCTTACTGCCGCCTGCCCACTGCCCTTACTGCTGCCTGCCCACTGCCCTTACTGCTGCCTGCCCACTGCCCTTACTGCCGCCTGCCCACTGCCCTTACTGCCGCCTGCCCTCTGCCCTTACTGCTGCCTGCCCACTGCCCTTACTGCTGCCTGCCCACTGCCCTTACTGCTGCCTGCCCTCTGCCCTTACTGCCGCCTGCCCACTGCCCTTACTGCTGCCTGCCCACTGCCCTTACTGCCACCTGCCCTCTGCCCTTACTGCTGCCTGCCCACTGCATACTCACAAGCTGTCTAAAGGCCCCGGCTGAACTCAGTGCACAACACCAAAACATCTCCCACAACACCCACCCACCCCAGAGAGCTGCAAGTTTGGACATAGGGCAGGCAAGGGGTACGAAGCACAGGGAGATGCCCACAGACCTGCCAGGAGCAGGCAGGAGGAGCAGTGCTCCACCGTGACAGGGGGTTGTACAGCCAGGAGCCATCCCACCACCCCACAGACCCACCTAGTGTCAACCTGTACCTGCTCCCAGCCTCCACTGCCCACTACAGTCACTGCAAAGCATCCTGAGAGCCACTGGGAGAAGCTGGAGGTTTTGCTCTTTTTTATTATACAAAAATAGCTTCAACACAGTCAATACATTAGAATGAAAAGTTCCACAGAAATGCCAAAAAATTAACTTAAATATAACTTAAAGAGCTGAACACTGTATTAAATAGTTTGCCAAATTCAGGAGTAATAAGAAAACAGGGATGTGTCTCAGAGGTGCCCATGAGAGTAGGTCCTTGAAGAGGTGATGCTTGGAGGAAGCAGCGTGTTGCTTATCCACTGCCTGCGTTGTTGTGGTGATTCAGGATGTCCTGGACCCACTTATCACCAGGTCTGCCACAGACCCTCTTACCTTGGCCTGTGGTAAATCTGCAGAAGGAAATCCAGTGAAAGGATAGGGCAGGGGAGGAGGCGAAGAGGGGAACTGCCTGCTCCTTGCCACCCATGAACTCCAGCAAACCAGACACTTCTATAGCTGCAGACTCCCAGGGAAATATGGGGTAGGGGGTTGGCTTCATGTCATTACAGGCAATCTGCTCCCTGCTGCTTAAGCCAGTTTGTCCTCCCCTGCCTAGTCCAGTCAGGACACCATCCTGGCTGGGTCCCGCTATCTGGGCATGACAGGGGTGGTCAGCAAAAGCTCTTTTGACTCAAATCCAATAGGGAGGTCCAGAAACTGGCTGCCTGGGATGTGGGATTGGCCTCTGAGGTATCTCCAGGCTGTTCTAGCATGGGAGAGCCCAGACTGGTGTTTTCCCTTGCTAGGACTTGTGTAGGTTCCTGGCACTGCCACCCTTCTGTGGAGCAGGGTGGCCAGTATTTGGGCAGGAGATCTACTCACATCACGGCTGGCAGGTGGCAGTGCCTGCCTGCATATTCGTACGTCACCACGCGGTGCGAGGGAACTTCATTGGTTGCATACCGGTGGCAGCAGGAACGACCAAACTTGACAGCCTCTGGAAGAGAAGTTAAGCTTTGTGACGAAACCAGACTGGGAAAAGTGCCAGTGGGGAGAAGCAGGGTCAGGAAAGCAGAGGGTCCCTGCTGCAGGCAGTGCTGTTCCCAACACAGGTTCCCACCGCAGCCACCCTTCCCTCAGGAAGCCAAGGAGTAGCAAGACAGGCCTCTCCTTCCCTGCAGCACATGCTTGGAACAGAAAGCTGCCAAGCATTGCTAAACTTTCTACAGCACAAAAAGGGTAGAAAAGAGAGCTCCTTGGAGAAGAGAGCTTGGACTCACCTGGAGAAGAGGAGACCTGATAGCAGAGGACAGCCAAAAGGAGTACAGCAAGGGCAGCTGTGGAGGTCTTCATGCTCCTGTTGGGTGGAGATAAATCGTAGTAGTAGATAAATTATAGGAGTCAGGCCAAACTGCTGCAGGTCTTGCTGTGCCTGATGTGGGATTCCTGGGTTCAGCTCATTTATAGACACAGTGAGCAAGGACGGAAACACACCAGAAACATTGCTGAAAGACATGACACAATGGAAAAAGTGCTGTGTCAGAGGTTCTTGTGAAGTACCCAGAACCCCAATAACAGCAGTGCCCTGGTGTGCCATATCATATAATGATATGTTACCACAAAATGACAGAGAACAGGATATGACCTCTCTTCTTTTCCTGTTACTCCTGACCAAAGGACTCTGTAGAGAACCTAGAAGGAATAATTCAGATTAGTAGATGACCGGCTTACCCAGAAGTGACATGACGGCAATGGGTGGAGGATGGCTGTGACTGCTACACACCGTGTTTCCTAGAATATCTGCATCACAGACAGACTTAGGATAATTCACTTCTCCCACAGCAACTGGAGCTCAGAGAATGCATGAGTCTGCCCTGCTTGCAGCACTGCCCCAGGGAGATGCGGACTTTCTCCATGAGATCCAGAAGGCCATCAGTATGCAAACATGCAGAGCAGAGGGTACAGCATGGTGCCATCCCAGGTCTGGGCTCCTCTTCTGTCCTTGACTATCAGTTGCAGTGAGTTATTAGGAAACTGTTTCTGTTGCTACATTGCAGTTTCACAATCAGTGACAGCTAAAACAGCACTCTGTTACCTATGGACATGAGAATCAGCCATGAGTGTTTATAAAGAGCTCTAGAAGCCCATGTCAGTGCTGGCACAGCAGAGTTGGCTTAGGTGATTATTTGGTTCCAGCAGCGTAGAATCGACGCTCTCCTGACGCTACTTTGTCATTTCCCTAGGAGCCACAGACACATAGAGAAGAGATTTGCTGGTTTAGCTCATGTTTGGGACGGGAATGGTGTCACTGCACTGGCAGAAAAAACACTTATCAAATGCTGAAACCGTACAGAAGGGCTCTGCTGGCTTCTGGGCAAAGGCTGGTGGATGAAGCCTCAGGAGAATAAGAGGAAGAGCAAGATCTTCATGGTGCTAGTGAACGTGCCCAGGCCTGGGCAACCACAGCTGCAGAGGGAAAGCCACACAAGCAGGCTGCCTTTCATGATGGTCCAATGAAGAATGGGATCTAGCTCCTCTATGGAGGGGGAAGATTACAAAAGAGAAACCGCTGCCAAAAGTGGTGGCCTTGTAGGAACCCAGAGGAGGAAGTAGAAGAGAATTAAGAGATTCCCTGGACCAGCTGAAGGAGAGCTGATTCCAGGCCTGGGACTCCCAAGGACGTACCATCACCATGCCTCAGTAGACTGATTGAAAAAGTGAGCCAGACTTGACAGGAAGTGTGGCCCAGGTGGCACTGCAGGATCTGTTTTACACAGAGCCTTTTGTTTCACTACAACGCTGTTACTACGAATAAGCAAAACTGAGCCAGGGTGAGACCACACACACGTGGGTGCCTTGATGCCATGGAGCTGGAAGCCTGGATGAGCCTGCAGAGCCCTGGCATCCCAGGGCACCCGCTGCCAGCAGGACTTTGGGAAAGATGCTTCCTTAGCAGGAACAGGCACCTCCTACCACAGAGCAAGAAGGCAGCCTCCCACATCCTCTGCAGCCATTGTTGCACAGTCCCCAGCTTTGCCATTGCACCAGTGAAGGATTTAGCATAGCCAGTTGCTTTTCTGCATCTCTCTTTCCCCACTGATGGGATTGCTGCTATCCCAGATCATACACAGGGGTTAAACTCACAGACAGAATCAAGACAGCCCAAATCAAGGCTGAGGCTTTACTTGCCTGTGACAGAGGTATCTTACAGTACCCCACTCTGAACAGCAGAGGCTCTTCAGATTCATCTGGGATCCTGACTGCTCTATAATCATAGAATCCCAGACTGGTTTGTGTTGGAAAGGACATTAAAGCTCACCCAGTTCCAACCCCCGAGCCATGATCCCAAATCCACGGCACCTCTGCACTCTGCCTCCTTGCTCCAGCTCTTCCTGCAATATGTGTGCATTTGTGCTTCCAGGATGTGGGGGGGCAGATCCAGCCACTCCCTTCCAGCCCCATGCCCAGTTCAGCCATGCACCACAAGCAATTCCCCTCACCCTGCACCCATGAACACCCCTGTCCTCATGGGCTGTCCCAGCCACTGCTGTGCTGCCTGAGACAAGAGACATGGCAGCCTGATGGCCAAGGCAACAGACCAACACCCCTGCCTGAGGCAACAGACAGCAGACTGAGGCTGGGGGTGCTAGAAACAGGCTTTGACACAGATCCCACTGCCAGACTGGTGTCCTGGGTTCAGCAGTAGCAGTCATTTTTCTCCTTCTTGGTAGCTGGTGCGGTGCAGTGTTTTGACTTTCGGCTCGGGAACAGAGCTGATAACAAGGATGTTTTGGTTTGGCCAAGGACTTTGTGAGCCTCATGCTCTGCCAGGGAGGAGGGGAAGCTGGGAGGAAGCAGAGACAGGACACCTGACCCAAACTGACCAAAGAGGTATTCCATACCACAGCACGTCATGCCCAGGATGTAACTGGGAGTTAGCCGGAAGGGCTGGGGGACTGCAGGGTTGGAGGAGGTATCAGTCAGAGCTTGGTTGAGCTTGGGGGGTGAGTTATCGGTTGGCTGGTGGTGAGGTGTTGTATTCTCTTCCCTTGTTATTTCCTTTATTATTATTATTATTATTATTGGTGGTAGCAGTAGTGATTTGTGTTATATCTTAGTTACTAAACTGTTCTTATCTCAACCCGTGGGAGTTGCATTCTTTTCAATTCTCCTCTCCGTCCCTCCGGGAGTAGGGGGAGGGAAAGAAGGGGGGGAGTGAGTGAACGAGTTACCTGACTGGGTTTAAACCACGACAACTGGGAAACCACATAGAAAGAGATGAGCTGAGACGGAGCTGAGATCAAGCTGAGGTGAGACGAGGTGATCGCAATGCAGTTGGTGACCTGCTAACTGAGGTGCCACCAATGTCCACCACTTTCATTCCTCTGCTCCTGCCATTCCTACCAGTGCATTCAGACCCAATATTTGCACACATCCCCTGCTCAGACCAATCTTAGCACTCCTGTTACACATCTCCACACAGAGACCAGAATAAAACTGAGAGGAGGAGAACAGGCTCAGGACACCCTCGCTGATGCAGCTCACACCAACACAGCCCAGCCTGGAGCTGCTTTTAGCTGAATGTTCTGGATGTTCTTGCAATATTCAAATATGGGTTTGATGGAAATGTCAAGATTCATTCTGAAAAATCAATATTTTCCATCAGGAATATGAATGTGCCTAAACACTTTCAATGAATTCTTTCCCCTTTGAGATATCCTGGGCTGTGTTTTCTGCTTCCATTCATCGCAAAAGGAATTCTTGGAGGTTTTGACACCTCTGTTATTCCCCCTATTCACTGTTTTGCTTGAAGGAAGATTTCGTATTTCAGTCTTAGCTGCTCCTTTCTGCTAAGACAAATAATGCAAATCTCTAAATATTTTGATTTCTGAAACCTCCTCCATATCCTACATCCTAAACAGGAGCTATTTATGGAGTCTCTAAAACCCCTGCCTTATGGTGTGTTTCAGCTTTTGATAGAAACCACACATGGTATCTTTAAATCCATCACCAGAACAGATTTGGGATGCAGGAGGACATCTTTTTTTAGCCCCGAAGGCAGCCAGCTCCACCAACCAGCCCTGAGTCATGGCTGGGGGATCACATTGTCATAGTGCCCTGGGAGCTGCCAGATCACTGATGGGGGAAATGCTGGTTTTAACTGGGCCTGCACCAGCTAGAAATAGAAAGAGAATGACTGGGGGAAGTCAGCAATCGTAGGGTGAGGCTCCAAGAAAGACAAGCAAGATCACACATGAAAAGAGGAGTTTTCCAGAGGGATCAAGACTTTCCAGGAAGGGAACTGAAGTCTGCAAAATGATGAGGGGCCTGGAAAGAGTGGCACATAGCGATTGATTACACACTGTTTCTCACAGAGTGAGAACCATGGACCATCAAATGAAGCTGGCAAGGGCCTGGTTCAAAATGAACAGAAGGCAACAGCTCTTCATGTGAGGAGCACTTTGCTAAGGGATGTGGTGATCGCAAGGAAATTTCCATGTGTCTGAGTCGAGGCTTGGATTTCATAGTGATAAGCTCAAGATTTGTGAAATGAGAATGGTTGGAGGCTGGGAGAGCACTTGAGGGAGGCAGCACAAATATTTGCTTTTTTTTCAAGGGGTCTGTTGTATATAGCCACATCTGGAGGTACTAAGGCTGGGCAAAAAGGACCCTTCCTTAGAGTACATCCTCTGGGGCTGTTCGTGTTTGATTTCCCAGGACAACTGGTCCTACAGGACTGTGAGGTCTATAGAGTAGTTTGTGAAATCGCATTGAAATCCCTGGACTGAAACTTATGCATCATAATATGCCTCCAGATGGATATTTTTAGTAAATGTCAGCAGAAAGACACCAACAGTTTCTAAGCACACAGCAAGGCAGAAATACACTGCTGCAGTTTGTGCCATTTCCAAGACAAATCCTGGGTGCCTAGAAAAGCCTCACTTTTGGACAAGAGCCTGCAGAAGTGGCCAGCTGCTGTGTCAGGACATGGCCCTCACAGCAACATGGTAGTACCCCCAAGGCCACACAGGCTTCCTTTGTCTTCCTGAAGGTGCCCTCAGTCCTGAGCACCAACCTTCCTGGAGCTGAGCAGCATCTGCCCAGCAGCTATGGCACCGTGTGACTGGTTTAGCTACGGCAGCTGGGGTTCAGACGACCGAAGACAAAAAAGTGGGTACTGGCTTGGAGATGCCAGGGCCGGACGTTGCTGAGCACTTGACGCTGTGTGGTACCTTGCACTGGAGAAGTCTGCCTCCTGTTGGCTTCTGCTGGAGGGACAGCTGGTGCCGGCAAGTCAGGCCGTGGGATTTTAGGAATCAAGGAAGCAAATGAAATGCTTCACAGAGCACTGGTCAGTGTTGGGCTATGCCCATGTTGTAAGGCAGGACAGGGGTAGACTGGCCCTCCAGATCCTTTTAATATCTGAAGGGGGCCTATAAGGATGCTGGAGAAGGACTCTTCATCAGGGACTGTAGCAACAGGACAAGGGGTGATGGGTTCAAACTTAAACAGAGGAAGTTCAGGTTGGATGTAAGGAAGAAGCTCTTTACTGTAAGGGTGCTGAGGCACTGGCACAGGTTGCCCAGAGAAGTGGTAAATGCTCCATCTCTGGCAGTGTTCAAGGCCAGGTTGGACAGAGCCTTGGGTGATATGGTTTAGTGGGAGGTGTCCCTGACCATGGCAGGGGTTTGGAACTGGATGATCTTAAGGTCATAGAATCATAGAATAGTTAGGGTTGGAAAGGACCTTAAGATCATCTAGTTCCAACCCCCCTGACGTGGGCAGGGACGCCTTATGCTAAATCATATCACCCAAGGCCTCGTCCAACCTGGTCTTGAGCACTGCCAGGGATGGAGCATTTACCACTTCTCTGGGCAACCTGTGCCAGTGCCTCACCACCCTTACAGTAAAGAACTTCTTCCTTATATCCAACCTGAACTTCCTCTGTTTAAGTTTGAACCCATCACCCCTTGTCCTGTTGCTACAGTCCCTGATGAAGAGTCCTTCTCCAGCATCCTTGTAGGCCCC